TGATCTTGGAGGTGTCATTGTTGCAAGAAAGGAGAAGAACTAGCCAAGGGAGAGCAAGTGGAGCCACTTATGAGGGTTTGGAGTCCAGAGCATCACTATTGTGGTAATAATTTCGAGTTATCTTCTTCCTTGTTGATGTTTATCTAGATTTAGGGTTTGTTGAACCCTTTTGTGGCAAGATCTAGTGCCCTCTTGGTCCCTTATGAGGTTTGAACCATACATCTGGACCCTTAGAGGTCCATAGTGTCCCTTTACCCAAGCTTTTTGGGAATCAATGGAGGCTTTGGATTGGAATCCTCATGCCTTAGGTCAAAACTCCATTTATGAGCCATGGGGTGTGTTTTGGGCACCAAGATAGAAGCTTTACGTGATGAATTAGACTAGGGAGGCAAGATCTATAGATTGTGGAAGCCGATCTGACCTTAGAAGCAAGTTGGAGTGGTTGCATGGCATGGACTCGCCGAGTCTGTTCATCAGACTCGGTGAGTAGTTTGAAGATTGCCTTGGGATTGCTCTGTGAGTGGTCCAATCGAGTCATGGGTAGACTCAGCGAGTCAGGGTGAGTTAGAGAGGGATGACAAGTGGACTGAGTCGAACTGGGACTCGCCGAGTTGTTCTTGAGACTCGATGAGTTGAGTTGGGGTGGCCCCGCGATTCTTCCAGGTGAAACTCGTCGAGTAAGGGGGGAATACTCGACGTGTAGGAAGGGAATTTCAGAGTGTTGGTGAAAACGTCTAGACTCGCCGAGTCGCCGTAGCACTCGCCGAGTCTGGTCAAAGTTAACCGTTGACCGTTGACCAGAGTTGACCTGTGTTGACTTCTTAGGGATAGTCAGCCTTAGAGATATAAAGTGTTAATTAGGGACATATGATGTTATAGGAGGATTAGAGCTCGGAGGATCGAGCACGAGGGATTGCCAGGATTCGTGAGATACCGAGATACGCGAGGTGAGTCTTCTCACTATACTTTACCTTGAGTAGGTAACCAGAGTTATGTGATAGAGTATTTGTATGCTATGAATGTTATGTGTTGTACTGCATTATTTCTATGTGATTTATATGGTGCATGTTTATCAGAGTTAGAACCTGAGGGTTCACAGAGTTTGGGTGCACGGAACCACAGAGTTATAGCCTCGAGTGGCTATTATGTGTTAAACGTGGTATTTTGGGGAACTCACTAAGCTTTGTGCTTACAGTGTTTGATGTTATTGTTTCAGGTACTAGTGATGACTGCGGGAAGGCGCCGGCTTGATCCTTACACACACACTCGGAGTTTTTACATTGTGATCTTGGGATTTTGTATTGACCTATATTGGATAATTAATATGGTTGTTTGATGAATATTAATCGAATTATGTTTTATAAGAAAATTGAAAATTTTGTTTCGAAATTTACGGTGTTACAAAGATCATTTAAAGAACAATAGTTTTCAAATGTGAAAAATGTTGAATTCAAAAGGAATGAATCAACAAATGAAAACAAGAAAGAAATTCCTCAAACTTTTTGACGATTCCTGCTCTAATACCAACTGAAGAGTCAAGAATTCAATCAAGTATCGATTTAACTGTAACACCCTGATCTCCTGGATATGGAAATTGAGAATATTATTCATACTAGAAGACCTACTTGATGAGTTGGTTGGTCCTGACTTTTCGTATAGGAGTTGATCAGGATGCGTGGGATATGAAGTCTACTCATCGAGTTGAGTCCGTTTGATGAAACCCTAATTATTCGGGCTTGCACCTTATTTAAAGGACTTTAACTCCTCTACCCTGCGTCCCTCATCACTTTACCACCCTGAGACAAACCTTAATTGAGTACCTTCCATTTGACAGTGTTTAGAGCTAATGGTGGGTGTGTTTTTGTGCATTCCTTGAAGAGTAGAAGGCTTGGAACAAGGAGTCATTACCTTGATCACTTGTTTGCTAGATCTCTCCATTAGAGAGTTTATGACCCTTTCTAGCCTCTCCTTGAGTCATTAATGGTTGTGAGCATGCTATGGAGGTGAGATCTCAGATCTGGACACTACTAGGCCCTTTAAGTCTAAAGCCTCAATCTTTATGAAGCATTGACCCGTCTTCATGTCCTAAACCCCTTCTTGAGCTTAGTATCAGGTGTTTTAGCCTTGTGAGGACTTGCTTGATCGTAAAGTTAGCAACATTATGTGGTAACTTCATCCTAGGAGGTTGGATCTAGATTTTGGAGCATTGGAATCGACTCCAATGAGTTTAATGTGTAATGGTTGAAGAACTCGACGAGTTGGACATCCAACTTGATGAGTCGAGTCGGGTTTTCCCGTTTTTGGATCTAGAGTGAACTCGACGAGTTGGTGGGACAACTCGATGAGTGGTTAGGGTTTTCCCCGATCTTATGGACTCTGCATGGACTCGATGAGTTGGCTAGAAACTCTGCGAGTTGACTCGGTCTTTCGTGATTTATTGAGTATTGAGGAACTCGACGAGTAGATGAGTTGCACTCGACGAGTTAGGTTGGCTTTGACTGTTGCCTGCCATTGACTTTCGGGTTTTGGTCAAGCTACGGATTTTGGAGGCTATGGAGGGGCGGACTCTAGACCAGCCATTTGAGTGTTGGTGTAACACCCAGAATCAGAAAGACCAAGAAAAGAAAGGAAAAGCTCCAAGTCAAGGAGTCAACTCATCGAGTCCAGGGAAGAACTCGACGAGTTGGAGCGGGATCCGGGTTATAGAATAAGTGACCGACTTGGCGAGTGGACTCGACAAGTCTGGTCTGGATGAGAAAAGCCCTAATCTTAGGGTTTGCAACCTATTTAAAGGATCTTATGTCCTCTCCTTATCCCCCCCCCCCCTCTTATCGGCCAGAAGCTTCTTCGAGCAATTCCAAACCCTAACTTGAGTAAGAGGAGGAGGAAAGTGAGCTTGGGGCTTTTGCAAGAGGAAGATTGGAGGATTTGACCACTAAGGAGCTGGAGGATTCAACTCTTGGGTTGTGAGCATCTGTTTGAAGGTATCAATCTGTCATTTTTCCTTTGTTGCTTCTAGATCTTTTCTTGGATGATGTCCTCCATGCTTCTAAAAGGCTACCAATACTTTATGTTACTATAATCTAAATGTATGTCTTGCATGTGAGTATAAAAAATATGCTTGTGCTTGCATTATTTGGCTAGTTTTTCTACAGTTCTCTCTTGTGGCCAAACGTTTCTTCCACTCCCCACCTCTCTCTCTCTCTCTCTCTCCCCCTCTCTCTCTCTCTCTTGAAGTTGGTTTGGTGATTAGAAGCCCTCTTGAGTTATCTCAGTTAGTGTTTATTTGAGTTAAGTACTTAAACGCTTAAGACACTCAAGAATAGAAGAAAGAACTAGCATTCCAAGTGCCTTAATCCAGATGGTGGATACATGTAGAGAAAATCATACTCTTTGATTTTTCTATCTACATCAACACCCCAAAACTAATTTGGTTCAAAGGCTCTAAAGGTTGTTATTCTAAAACATTATGGGGTTGTTTTAATACCATTATAACCTCTATAAATGGATCTTAGATGTTTTGACTTTGTTATAACTCAAAAATAAACTTGCTTTATTTAACGCTTTCGTTGATCGGCTTTTATGAATAACACACTTATATTTTGTATTAAAACGGATTCCACCTTCTATTTCCTCACCCATACGATCTTTCTTTATATGTATGTATGTGGGGGAGAGAACGAGAGTACATATTAGAAGATAGAGCAGCACAATCGAACACATAACAACCATAAGTCTTCTACCCAACCTTCATCGTCGACAAGCCTCATTACTTCACTTATTGTTCATTTCCTTTTTTCTTTCAAAACATTATCATAAAAAGACACAACCTCCTCTCGTTTTTTCTATGATATATAATCATTAGGGAATGGTAGAAGGGAAGGCTCATTGTTATATGTTAGTTAGGCTTCTCTCCTTAACTATTTCCTTGTCATGTTCACACACACACACTCTCTCTCACACACACACACAACGACACCTACTATATACATGTAACACTGCAAGATTGTTTAGAAAAAATAAACATCCCCCCTCTCTCACACATACATATAGACTTTATCATTGATATAGCTTCTAAAAATTTAAAACCCCAAACCTTATCAGAGAAACTGAAACAGTTCTTGACAAGGATGTATTCGTTTTTCTTTCTCCCCCAACATTTTCTTATCATACGAGGTTGTCGGAAAAATTAATAAAAGAGAATTGGATTTCCGTTGGATCTAGATCCCCCTACCTCATTTTCCTTTAATCAATAATAATAATAATAATAATTAAAAAAAGATCATGAGGGTTGTTTACACATTCCATTTAAAACTCTTATTTATTCTTGTTTCTCTTAAATAATACTGAAGAACCCTTCTTTACCAAAAGAGAATACAAGGTTGAACCTCGTTTCAAACAACTTTTGCGATTATGTGATTGTTGTTGAGGGATAGGAATGATTATGAAGGATGGGTGGGAGTTTGCTGGAGAAGACAATTGTCATTAAAGACAAAACGTTAAAGGCGGCGCTGGTATATTAACAGTGAAAAAAAAAGAGGAATGGGTGAGGTTGAGTAGGTGGTGGTCTATTCAACTTTAAAATGCAAATATAATAAATAGTAAATTATACAAACGTTCCGGTTTGGGGTAATATGAACTTTTGGTCCCTAATTTTTTTTTTTAACTCGGAAGGCTCTATTGTTTGTTTTTGTTGCGCGTATGGCCTCTGCCTTACCTAAAAAGACTATTTTGCCATTGATTTTTTAAATATTTCTAAATAAACATACCCCCAAACTCACTTCCACCTCACCTTAGCTTACCTTACCCACCGTACCTTATTTAAATAAATTTAAAAACAAGACAAAATAGTCTCTTTAGATAAAACATTGATCAAACGTGCAACAAAAACAAATTGTTTGGACCTTCCGAGTTAAAAAATAAGTTAGGGACCAAACATGTAACTTATCCCAAACCATAGGAACCATTCGTGTAATTTACTCTAAACTAAATAAAGTGCTAAAAAATATATATATCTAATAAGAGAAATTTAATTATTTCATATCTATTAGACACCAAACATGAAATAAACAAAACTCATAAGGATCGTTAGTGTAAACAATTTAAATAACTAGCCTTAGATTAAAAAAAACCATATAACCACATAGACCATTTATGTAATTTACTCTTTTGTAATATTCCACGTTAAGAATAGTAGTGATCTTGGTGACCCAAATAGTCATTACTACCTTTGACTTATGAAAATTTGGAGCGACCTGTCGACTGAACAGTTGCCCCTTGGATGAGGTCAATAGTCAGATCTGATACCTATCGTACCACCATCATTAGCAACGTAAACACACACCTAATTATTCAGAATCTCAGTAAATTAGATTAAAACAAAACTAATTTCAGCCGATTTTCCGCCAAATTATACACATATTACAACATCAAGATTCAAGATACTATCGAATCAAATCAAAACTCCCGGCAATACGACGGAACGACGCCGTACTCCACCTCCCCACCGTAACAACTTTTCGCGGAAACCCCCGTCGACGCCGTGAACAACCACCTATCCACATCGGAATCTGTGGATTCCGTCCTCTTCGCGAATCGACCTTTGATTCGCGGCCGTGTCTCGGCGTATGCTTTCCGTGATGCGTATCGGATTGTCTTCTCGAATTTTCTGTTCTTCCTTTTCTCCCTGTATCTCATAACCCTAGCCTCCCTATCAACCCCGGACAATTGTGTAGCTTGTTGAGAACCGGTGGTGGCTCCGTTCAACTCGCCACCGCCGCTCACGTGTAGAACGAACGGATGAGATACGTCGGACATTGAATTTCCTTCCGGGACGATACCCACATCGATTGAAGACGAAGATACCTGAAATTTTGATATGTAAAGATTCTAGTAGAGTATATAATGAAGAAAGCTTAAAGCTGGATGTATTCCAAGGATTAGATGTTTACACTATGGCTGAGCGATTGAGAGAGATAACTGTTTTTGTTGAAGGAATTGATATTAGATCTGGTGAAATCAATCTCGTATCGATTTTGAGTTTCCGGTGGCGGTGGAAAATGCTTTGCCGGCGGCGACACGTGGAACGGAACTACACTGTCGTTTACTGAATCGTGATTATGGAAGTGGCTGTGGAATTTTGTGTCCGTTGGAACAGGGAAATCGAAATCAAGGAGGTGATCGGATTCCGGAAATAACATTTCGATTGATTTGATATCCACCGGAGAACTGTCGTCGCTAGGAAATTTAACATCGATATTGACTGTATCCGCCGGAATTCCCCAATTAATATCGTCGTCGTTTGTTACAGAACTGTTCATATCGTCATTCCCGTTCCCGGAGCTAAGTTCGAGGAAGTCACAGGCGGAGGACTTCATCAGGATATCAGCACAATCATAAAACGGAACCACCGGAATCCGGTCATGTCGGCGAGAAAGCGGATTCGCCGAATGTATATCTCTGTCGCACGTCACACATAACGCGGCGGCGTCCGCCTTACACGTCACACTCGCCGGCGCCTGTTCACACACTTCACACATCCACACACGTTCGTGTCTTACGTGGCCATGCATCTTCACATCACACGCAAGACACAAGAACACGGTGTCCTTACGGCAGAACAGCAACGCCACGGCGGTCTTACACGAATCACACGGCTTCGCTGGCACGTTCCACCCCGCCGGAAAACACTTGAGGCCACCACCGGTTTCCAACTGCATCCTCATGATATATATATGTTCTTCGAATTTTGGTAGTTGAAGTGTTGAACAGTTTTGCTCTCTGTGGAATCTTCTATTGCATTGATCAACAGGAAGCCGGAGTGTGTCTATCTATATCTGATCGAGGTTGGGAAGATGAAGTAGTTGACGAGTACAGTGATGACACGTGGATTGATAATAGCCATAAAAAAGATTTGATGATTAGATAAAATAAGATTTTTTCTAAGTTGTCATGTGTCTGTCCTGCCCACGTGTAGGGGCCCACTTGAGACTGACAGCTGTGCTGCTGAAATCTTGGCGAAACCATACTGTTGTATATTATTATTTTATTTTATATTTTATAAATCCAAACTATATCCAATAAATTTTGATTATTTTGTTAAAATGTCCAACTATTATTATATATTATATTCTTAGGCTTTTTTTTGTTCACAAGTAAAGCTTAGTTGTAGAGAATTTTAGGTTTGTATCCTATTTCAGAAATCAACTACTTTGTGTAATGCCATGGAGGTAATACTTCCCATATTATCTCCCTCCACTTCATCGCCGACTTCACCACCGTTTCTTTATTGGTGTACTAGCAGCATGAGCTATCATCGTGGTGAATTAAAAATTGATAAATAGAGAGACTGAGATAGAAGAAAATGAGGTGTACAGGAAAAAAAAAAGGGAAAGAGAAGAAGAGAAGAAGAAGACGAAGATAGAAGAATACGAAAAGCTTATAGGCCAATTCATTGCTTCATGTTGTAGATACCATGAGAGATCACGACCGTGGCATCGGAGATGGTGTGCAGGATCATGGTTGGCTTGCCACATGGTCACGTACGCATCGATGTATCAGTGGGTGAGACGGAATGGATAGGGTTTATGTGACAATCCGAAATTTCTATTTGTACAAACCCTGCAGTCAAGCACTTCAATTAAAAATCAAACTCATTTCTGCTAAGTTTTAGCTCGGTTTAGAGTCCGTTTGGGTGATTTATCTTAATTCTTCAAAAGAACGAACGAGAGGAAGTACCTTCTAGAGTTTTTGGTGTAACATTCAAACATTAAACACCTTAACATGGTGTTTACGGCTATGGGGAGTTTGGGTTGTAAACTCCCTTATGGTCGTGAACTCATGCTTAAGGCATGAGTTTACTCCTTTCCTTCCTCATTTCTCACTTCCAAGTTCAAGAACATCAACATTCTCTCTCAAGTATCATCATATCTTCATCCAAATCTTCCAAAAATGTAAGTGTTTCTTCTCTTGATTTGTTGTTATAACACTTCATCTAGTAGTTATACATGATTTCATCCATGAAATCTTATCTTTTTCTAGATATTCAAGTTAGATATTCAAGTGTTCTTCAAAACACCAAGAACACACACTAGTGTTCTTGGACCTTAAACACTCTTACAAGCTTCCTATAAGTAAGTACACTCCTCTTAACTAGTTATATGCTTGGATTACTTGTTAAACCATTGAAAAACACCAAGAATGCCTAAGAACACATGGGTTTACGACCAAGTCAATCTCCTTGGGCCGTAAACACCATTAGGTGTTGCATATGTGCCACCATTGCTTCATAGGGCTTGGATATTGGACTAGAACCCTTCATACTTGAGCTATACACCTTAAACTTCAAAATGGTAGGAGTTACCATGTGTTTACGGCCGTAAACCCTAGGCCGTAAACTCCATGGGAGTTGGTCCTTGGGCCTTGAACTCTAAAGCAATGTCTTACACCCCTTTGATGCAACCCTATAATCCTCTAACACTTAAACCAAAGTGTTTTCCACGTTTTAGGGTGTTTATACTTGCTTAATTGTGGTTATAATCACTAATTAGATACATATATGTGTCAGTATATGCTAAATAGGATCCGTGTGTGCTCAAGTCTTCATTTGACTCTTAGCATCCTATCCCGATCTTACACTCGCATCACTCACTTCAGGTGAGTTCATACCCATTAAATTATCTTTTAAATGATTTTAAATGCTTTTATGGGGGGAGGGGGGATACAAGTAGAAAACATGTTAGTTATATAATCAATCACATGTGATTTATAACTATGTTTCCAACAAAGGATTTCATACACTTCAACTGTGTTTCAAATAAATGATTTCTTATGCTTTAAAACTGACATCAAGTCATTAGTAACTATTGTTAAACTCTTTAAAATGTATTACAAGACATCTTTTAAAATTTTTAGTTTCATCATTTACTTAACCCTTTGTACAAGTTGAGCAATAGGTTTACATTCATACTCAGTAACAATTCATGACGTACAAATAAATTATTATAGGAATAATTTAGGATTCATAGAACATTTTTATGCAACTCAGGTATACTAAAGTACATAGTTATTCAATAAAAAGTTAAGAATACTAGTAAAGAACATACTATCAATTATTCAATTCAGAATGATTGGGTTTTTATAACTAAAATACATGTAACATTTATATACTTTTTATGAGAAGTTTGATACAGGTTGTTTACTTCATTTTAAACAATATAGTTAAGTCCTGATATTATAACCAAAATCCCCAACAGGGGATCGAAACAATGTGTGTGTAGATCTATATTGGGATTGACAATCCCACACTCAGGCTGCTAGCTACAGTCAGACATACACGCCTACGAGTGATAATTGTTATCAACAGTTTTCAATGCATTCATAGCATTGGGTCAGGCCATCTAGTCAGCATGGTTATAATAACTCATATAAAAGATATTACCAATACGTTAGGGTAAAATTAGGCAAGCATAGGTACAATTCCAGAACATTGAATTACAGACATAACGAGTTTATACAAACGAAACTACTTTTCATGTACTACAGAAAATATATGATTTTCTGGGATACATTCATCTATTCAAAGAAACAGGAAGCATTCTCTTAACATAAATACTTATGAACTCACCAGCTTAAATGTTGATCTACGCTTTCAAAATAACTTGTATTCTCAGGTCATCGGTAGACAGGTACCGATGGCAGGTTTTGAGAAGACGAAGTACAGTCAAGACTCATCGTTTATTTTGATCATTCATTTTTGGTGTCTAATACATTACAAAGAACACACATGTATTATAACTTTACTATTAATGCAATGGATGATATTATTGCTTGTTTACTACTTTGCATTGTTATGATACTTTACATGACGTCCTCAACCCCCGAACGTTTTCCAGCGTTCCAGTTTCGGGGTGTGACAGATTGGTATCATAGCTTTGTTTATAGTGAATCGAGTATATCAACCCATAAAAGATATACAAACTATAAACACAATGCGATTAAAATACTCTGACCAAGAGTATATACTTTTAAATAGTAAAATATTTAACTAAGTATACATAATTGCATTCATACTAAAATCAGTGTCACTAGGACAGAACAAAAGTATTACGATTGTTGAACAACACAATTAGGATTAGAGACATATAGTCAAATCTGGGAGGATATAGCATGATCAACGATATTTTCTGAGGAGTGACTAGCATGTGCCTGAGAATAGTTGTGGTGTTGCAACAAGTCTAAAAACTTACCAAAACTTAAAAAAAAAAAAAAACGTTCGATGATACAACATGATATTTTTGAATAATTTATAAATAAAGAATTATTATAATAATAGTTGTTGAAGTTTTTTATATAAATATGAAAAAAAAAATCATAATGTATGCTTATATTTTTTTGCCAAATTTTATAAAACATTATTTAAACAGTATCATCAATTTCTCGAGAAAATATTTATGGTACGTTTTTAATGGATTTAATTGACAAAATCGAAGTTTATTTCCATCCATTTATGTATCAAATTCTTTGATCACTAATTACAATGTTTAGTTATAACTTTACATCCAAAGTTGTTGGTTTTTATCAAATATATACGTTAATTCATATAATTTTTATTTTTATTTTTTATACAATAATACATAAAAGTTGATCTAGATTCGTTAATTATTTATAACAAAGTCATAAAAATATTAAAAAATCACTTTGAAGTTTAAAAAAATCAATTTATTTAGATTTCAGTTTATTTTAGTAGCTCGCAAATGTTAAAAAAACAGTCTTCTTTTTTTTTTATTGCAGACGTTTGGTCCACCTCTTCTACAGCAGAGGTCCACAGATGTGGTCTACAGACTGCAGACATTTTACCTCAGAAAAAACAAAACACTTTACTTTGTAGTGTCCTTAGCAAAAGGAAAATTTGAAAACAAATAAAAGAAAATTGTGTATTGCAAAATTATTTTCTCTAAAGGTTAATAAAAAAATAGGCAATGAAGTATTTATTTATTTTTTGTAAATATTAATAAAAAAAATCATGAATATGGAATGAAATATTTGTTTTTTGTTCACGAAGTACAATTAAAATAATAGAATTTTATGAACACAAAATTTGATTTTCTTTTATTTTTTAAATATATTTTTGAATATCAACTAGTTCACTAGCCATTTCTAATATTAACTTTTCTTTCCATAACCACAGTTTTCATATATACAGTGCAAATGTTTATATTACTGCAAAAAACAATATATATATTTTTATTACATAAGTTTTGGAAGCTTTCTGGTTATAGAATATTCGAAAATACTTTTGCAACAAAAAATGTTTCGTAATTTGAAAAATAAAGTGTCTTAAAACAGATTTTTGAAAAAAAAAATGTAGAAGTAAATAAAATAGAAAAATGTTTTAAATAGAAAAACTTATTTCAAAGAAATACAAATTTTGTAGCGGACCTCAATAATAGTTATATTTAAAAAGATAAAAAAAAAAAAAATCTTTTGAAAAATCTTCTCCAACAAAACAACATTTATCAATTTTTATTATTATTATTTATTATTATTTTTTTATCTTTTATTGTTGTGATACTAGAATTCGAGTTGTAGGAGATTAATAAATAAAAAAAAATCTAAGTGTATGCTTTTATTAATTAAAAAGGGAAGTGGATAGTGATGGGGTCTGTTGAATCACGGGGCTTGACCCTATCTACTTTCAACTTTTTTGATAAACTTTTACTTTCTATTTAAAGTAACTTTTTGACATAAAACAGAAATTACATGTGTTAGTTTTTGGCAGTCATAGATTTATTTAAATCTAGCAAGCGAGCAAGGTCAACTAAATAGATGATATATATAAGTTATATATCAGTCGTCATCTTAATTCATTTTATTAACGGGTCCACTTTAAATTAATGTAAT